GTGCAAGTTGAGTTGGGATACACGTAGCATGTGGGTTACAGGTTGTGTATGCCTGAGTATCTAACTCACACTAAAATGTCTTGGCTGTATGCATGTGGTGGCTGGAATCCCTTGGCATTGTAGAAGCAAAGTTCAGAGCCAGAAAGTAAGGGAACGCAAAATTATGAAAAAAAGAAGAAATGATCTATGGAAAACTAATTGTTATAGATGTTATTTGATCCTTAAAATCATAAAAATAGTCTTGGGGAAAAAAGAAAAAAAGAAAAAAGCTGGTTTGGACTAACGGGCTGAAAGTTTGGTTTCATTATATTATTGAAGTTAAGGGAAATAATGTAAAATTGATTTTCAAATGGATTCTAAGATTTCATATGTGTTTTTAATCCCTCTTTAGAGGAAGACAGCATGTCAAGTGATGCAGTTTTACACAGTCGATTGAGGCCATGATCTTGGCTTTATAAACAAATACAGCAACAGTGGTAGTGAGAATCCATGATTTTATTTTCATGCAGCTTGAATGGTCTTTTCGTACTTTTATTTAATTATTATTACTAGTTATCATTTTTATTTATTTATTTTTTTAATTGATGCAAGTTCTGAAAATAATCAACTGGTTTTCCTTGGCCAAAACAAAACACCATGAGGTTTCCCTCAGGTGGCCGTGGCCTCTTTATTGTTAGTTACTACTAGTGGCTTCTTCTCTACTAATCAGTTTGTGGATGACCTGTTGAAGGATAATGAAGTTTCCTTAGTTGAGTGAAGTATCAGAATATCAGTGAAAAAGGTGTCTGTAGTAAATATTTTTCATGTTTGCATTAAAAATCATAATACAAGCAGATTTCTGAGATGGACGTATACTGAAGTCACTTGGAAGCAGACACACAAACAGAACAACCAAGCTTAAACAACCAACTCAGCCCTCCCAAAACCCCCTGGCCCACCCCCCCACCCCCCCCACACACACACACACAAAAAACAACAAACAAACAAAAACTAAAGCAACAGCCATGCAGATAGACAAACAAAAATAAAAACAAAAAAAAGAAAAAAAAAGAAATGAAGAACAAGAAAAAAAACACACAGTGGAAACTACGAAAAAGACAATGAGAGATACAGAATGATGGGGAAGAAAACTGTCAGCAATACCTGTAGACAGACAATACCTTCTAGAACTAACAATGCAAAGGCAGATATACATATGCAATAATAACACCAAAAACAAGATCACTACTGTATTATAATTAATAAGCCATTCCCTTCTCTGAGGCAGTTCTTTTGTTTCTTACATAATCCTGGAATGCAATGAAATAGCAAGTATCAACTAGTAACAGTGTTACACTATCTCCAGCTCTAAAATTAGACTCCTTATCTGGTTTGGACTAACGGGCTTACAGCAGGTCAGAAAAAGACTTGTGTAAATACTAAGGACAGAGAACTGTCTAAAAAGTAAGCAGCTAATCAGCAGTATTTAACCTGTAGGAAAAAATATGTATATGCTTTACTGTGCTTTGACTAATCATAGAAATATTTATAAGGCCCCATCCATACAGAATTCAGAGATTTACAGTACAAGGTAGTAAGAATCCCAAATGAATTTTTGTCCTTTTCTCAGAGCTGAAGTTAGAAAAGCACTGGACTGGGCTCCCCAGGGAGGTGGTTGAGTCACCATCCCTGGATGTTTTAAAATCCGTTTGGATGCGGTGCTCAGGAACATGATTTAGCAGAGGGTTGTTAGAGTAAAAGTAGTGTGGTTAGGTTATGGTTGGACTTGACGATTTTTAAGGTCTTTTCCAACCTGAGTGATTCTATGAGTGGAAGTGAGAAAACGACCTGCCAGAAATCACAAAACATACATAGAAATGGTCTGTAGCTCTGTCAAGGGTTGAAGCCTAGCAAGAAACCTTTTTGAACGTCTTTGAACTATTTCTGAAAACTTTCTGAATTCTGCCTCTCCTCCATTCTTTACATAGCTACAATGTATTAGCCAGCTATAATTATCTCAAATTTCTTTTTGTACTGTTTGTAATTGCTACAGTTTTCCAGAGCACATCGTGTATCAAACCTAACTAGATAATCCTCACTGTAAGGGGCTATGAGTCCTTTCCATTTTGATTGGAGAAGGTAAAGCCATGGAGATATTTTATTGAATTTATGATTATCAATTTATGATCAGATATGATACAAACTATGGAGCACTTACAAAGCTTTGCTTTCTGTGCTTTGATTGCTTCTGCATTTGCCAAAACTCTCTGTCCTTATTACTCTAGTTTTCCAACCAAATATGTGATAATCTCCAAGAAATACCAGTTTCCTTGATAATAACTTGCATTTTCTCCAAAAAATGCAGACTTAAACTGTTCAATAGGACATTTTCCGCCAAAAATAGGATACATTCTCCCCAAAGGAACAGTTTTCTCTCATGCATATTCCATTTCCTCCCAAAAATACCGCATTTCAACCCTAAAGACCACATTTTCATCCAAAATATTTTGGATATTTTCTCCCAGAAACACCAGCGTCATCCCAACTTGATGACATCTTGGACCAGCAATACCACTTTTCTCTCCCTAATATTACAGTTTCCTCCAAAAAGAGATCTTCTTCCAGACTTATCGGCATTCTCTCAAACAGATGACATTGCCCCCCAGAAAGAAGACGTTTTCTCCCTGAAATACCAGCTTTCAAAGGAATAGCTCCAATTTCCTCCCTAGTAGACTACTTTGCACACCTTCATATGACACTTACTCCCAACAATACGGCATTTATCACAGAAATGCCACTTGACTCCCAAATGTGGGACATTTCCTGCCAGAAATACCCCTTGGCTCTTCAATAGAGGATGTTTTCTCCCAGAAATACCAGCTTTCTCCCACATAGATGATGACCCCTCCCCCACTCCCCCAAAATATGATACTGTCTCCTGGGAATACCACTTTTCTTAGAAATACCTCAGGCCTTCTCCAAACAATATGACAATACGACAATCCTCAAGGTGACATCTTCTCCCCAAAACATGACATTTTCTCCCAGAAATGCCAGTCTTCCCCCACCCCAGGTACCGCATTTTCTTCCAAAAATAAGACCTTCTCTCCCCGAAATAATGGCTTGCTCCAATAAAAAGACATTATCTCCCAGAAATACCAGTTTTCGCCCAAACATAGGACAGTTTCGACCACAAGTATCACATTCCAACCTGAAAGAGGACACTTTCTTCCAAACATACGGTATTTCCTCCCAGAAATCCCACCCTTCACCCAAATACATGGCATTTTCTCCCACAAGTACTACTTTTCCCTCAAAAATAGGACACTTTCTCCCCAAACAAGGATCTTTTCTCCCTGAAATACCAGTCTTCTCCCCAAAGGGATGACGTTTTCTACCAGAAATACAGGTTTTCTTAGGTATACTTCATGTTTCTTCCACAAAATACTACATGACAGTAGCAAATGTGACATTTTCCAACAAAAACATGATATTTCCTCCCAGAAATACCAGCTTTCTCGCAAATATGTGATCTTTTCTGCCTAAAGAAGACAGTTTCTCCCGGAAACACAGTTCTCTCACAGACATAGGAACTTTCCCCCCCAAGATAAGACATTTTCTCCCAGAAATACCAGTTCTCTTAGGAACGCCTCCCATTTTCTACCAAAAATACGACTTCACACTCCTCAATAGGACACTTATTCCCAGAAATAGGGCATTTTATCACAGAAATACCAGTTTCTCCCCCCAAAGTACGACGACATTTTCTCTCAGAAACAAGACATTTTCTCCCAGGAATACCAGTACCCTTAGAAATTCCTCACATTTCATCCCAAGAGCACTACTTTACACTCCTCAATATCATGTTCACTCCCATCAAAATGACATTTGATCACAGATATTCCAGTTTTCTAACAAAGATGGGACATATTCCCCCGGAAATACCAGCTTATTTTTTAAAATGCGGCATTTTCTCCCCAAAATCCCAGCTTTCGCACAAATAGATGTCATTTTCCAACAAAGCATGCTGTCTTCCCCCAGAAATTGCAGTTTTCTGAGAAATACCTTCCATTTTCTCTCAAAAGGACTACTTTACACTCCTGAAGAGGACATTTTCTCCCATATAGACCCTATTTTCTCCCCAAAGGACCGGTTTGCACTCCAAAAAGAAGACAGTTGCTCTCAAATAGAAGACATTCCTTCCCAGAATTTCCCCCTTTGCTCCAACAAGTAGGTCATTTTCTCACAGAAATACCACATTTCAGTTGCAAAGCTGACCTTTTCTTCCAAAAATAGGATATTTTCTCCCAGAAAATATTCTCCCATTTTCTTACAACTACCACAGGTTTTCTCCCCAAAATATCAGAGGACAAGACCACATTTTGCACTTGCAACCAAGAATAGGACATTTTCTCACAGAAATACTACTCTTCTCCCACATATAGGAGATTGTCTCCCAACTGGATGGCGTTTTTGGTAAGAAATACCACTTTTCTGCCCTGAATAGGACATTCTCTCCCAGAAAAATAGAGTGCTCTTAGAAATACCTCCCATTTCCTCCCAAACAGACTGCATGACACTCCTCATCATGACACTCACTCCCAGACTTTTGGCATTTGATCACAGAAATACCATTTGTACCCTCAATATATGGCATTTTCCCTCATGAAACACCAATTTTCTCACAAATGCGTGGCACTTTCTTTCATTGGTGTCTTGCACAGTGCCTGATCCCCCCCACAGTTTCTTGCCCAGAGCTGTCCATGACCTCTCTGTCTTTGCACTGATGGAGTCACACCGTGGTTCTGAGCTCTTCACGATTTTCTCAAATCTTGTTTTGGATGATCACATGCAGCACAGGAGGCTCCATGCCCTCCATGCCCTTAATGCCTGCCCTGCCCCATTCTACTGGGGCTGCACATTCACCCTAGCCTTCCTTTTACTGCATATGCATTTGCACAAGCCCCTCCTGTCTTTGATATTCTGCCTGGGCAGATTCCGCTGTGTTTGTGCTGTAGTCTTTCTTAAATGCACCTCGGCAGGTACACATAGCAGGACAATATCCAATAGCTGCAATTATACATTAGGTGTCAGAGCATGAGCTTGTTTCAAGCCAGGTAAAGAAAAAGCAAGTACTATTGGCTTGGTGATTAGACAATTGCTGTCAACAGCTAAAGAAGCTCAAATAAGTCTCCAGGCAGGCCTAAGCAAGCTCAGAGCCATGTGTTGCTGGCATATTAGAAAGCTGTAGCCTGTGACAAGAAACTGCAACGCCTTTTTTACTGGCTTGTATAGCCACCATGAGTCCCACTCTGGTGGAATTCACTACAAAAGACAAAGATGAGATTTTGCTGAATTTCCTGGGGTGAAACCAACCAATAGGATAGCACGGTTGTTCTTTCATCGCAGTAGAGACGAGATGAAATGGTGTGGTCACTGCCATCACCCCTGTTGGAGACCATGCAGAAGGCAGGCATCTTGTAAGCTATGTGGCACTAAGGACACACCTGTAAGCTATGTGGCACTAATGAGAGGCATAATGGCAACTTGTAGTCTTTTTTAATTTGGACAAAAATTCATAACTGGTGAGCATTATGTTTTATCAAAATAATTCTGGAATACCAAAATTTTGTATTTATTCATACGTTGTACAAGAGCTGCACTGAAATTAATGCCTCCTGTTCTATTATGTTTGCTCATGGTTTCAGAAGTGGGTGTTTCTGGTTCGGCGGTAGAAGTGGAACCTTTCTGTTCCTATTTCATTACACTTTGTGGCCATCTTGACGGCAGCAGAGGTGCAAGTGTGTGTGACAAAGTGGTGCGTGACGTGGAAGTATCTATGAAGCAAAGGTTTGGATTTGAATTCCACAGCAGGGAAAAAATGGCATCCATTACTATTCCTCAACACTTGCTGAACGTTTATGGAGACCAAACAGTGGATGTGAGCACACGGAGTGCATTTCAACAGTGGCAACAGCAATGTGAAAAGCAAGCCACCTTCTGGATGGCCATGCACAGCTGTCACACCGTGAAATAAAGAGTGTCTCAAGCAGCTCGTCTGCATAAATTGGCTGATGACAGTGATTATGTTGAAAAAAAAAAAAGGCTTTGTAGCTGAGAACTTTCTCTATCAAACTCTGTTATTGTGCCCTTTGTATCAGTTTTCGTTTCCGTGGAAATAAATAAATAAATAGGAACCATTACTTTTAGATGATCCATGTATCTGATTCCAGGTTTCTAGTTTAATCACAGTGCAGTTTTATGCCGTACTGATTTCTTTGCTAGCAGTTTATGATGATGCTTTTCACAGAATTCATAGAGGGGCCTGAATAATTCACAGTCAAGTATACAAAGACACAAAGATAGTACATATCAGAGAGTTCAAAGATCATGCAAGAGGACTAAGGAGGTGATTGTCTGCCTGGTGAGGCCACAACATGAGCGCTGCGTGCAGTTTTGGGCACTCACTCCAAGGAAGACCTTGAGGCCATGGAATGTGTCCGGAGAGGGGCAACGAAGGTGGAGAATGGTCTGGAATCCAAGTCTTTTGGGGAGTGGCTGAGGGAGCTAGGATTGTTGAGTCTGGAGAAGATAAGGCTCCAAGGGAGACCTTATCACTCTCTGCAACTCCCTGAAACATGTTTGAGGTGTGGTGAAGGTCAGCTTCTTCTCCCAGGGAACAGTGTTTCTTAGTGGTTGCGGAGTTTCTCTTTTTACGTATCTATTCATTTCACATAATAACCAGCTCAACTGGAGTGGTTTTAAAGCAGGAAATTGAAGCAAAACTGTCTGATCTCAGGTTTTAGCATACTGTGTATTCTATTTAGAAAAGTCTGATGAGCAGATTAACATCTGTTGAATACATGTAAAATACACGTAAAACGCAGTTTTACTCAACACATAGTAAAAGAAAAGCTCAACATTCCTACCTAAGATGAAGATAGGATATTATAGAATTACCGTGTATGAACAGTATTCGTATGGTGAAATTTCTCTAGTATAGACTTAGGTTTTACTTCTGGGTCCCATTACTCTGCTTACTGTTCAGATAAGTAGCAACCATAATCTTCTGACTACTTTAGAATATTCAGAATTTTTTAATCACCAGGCAGTAACTCACTTCATCTTTGACAGGATACACTGGCAGTAGGCTCACAGAAGTATGAGACTCGGTGAGCATATGGATTTGAAGACATTTGTTTATTCTGAAAACCACATTGGCTTTTGCTGAGATAGTGCAAACTAAGGATCAAATGCTTTCTACAAAGAAATGAGGATCGGGAAAGTTTATTAGAGGACTTAGGAAATCATACACTTTCTTTTACCATCAATATCGAAGTAGCAACTGCATTGACAAAAAATGCCAGTGTTGTTTTTTTTCTCTCATTCATTAGTGTTCTTAGTGACTTTCTCCTCTACATAATTTGCAGCCTTAATTAAAACAGAACAAAACAAAAAGAAAACCCTCTCGTTTACAGAACAAAAGAAGATCTGTTCACTTGCTTAGCACACTGAAATCAGGAATTTCAAGACTTCCATTATTGCAGGCGGAAGCTGATCATGAATGTGTTTTTGTTTCTTGGTGTTCCTTCACCGAAATAGAATTCAAAACCCATGCTGCGACACTGCAATATTGTTCACTGCAAGAAACTAGTTTGCTCTGCCTCAGTGCGTTTCTCTGTCGAATTTGCTCTGGGTATATACAATGCTTGTTTATGTCCTTAAAATATTCCCGAAAGAGATGGATTTCACTGCATCTCTAGTAAATCTGGCCAGAATGATTTAATTCTCTCCCTTATGCAGCAAGACAACATTTCCATTAGAACTTTCGTAGGCTCATTTGACTAGCAGATAATGATGGACATAGTATCTAATCACAAGCATGGAGATATACGCATATATTTATTTCATATCCTCAGATTAGCTATAATTACATCATTTCACTTCAAGTTTTATTTCTAGCCACAGATCACTCTTTTAGCCTTAAGCGCTTTTACCAGATTGACTTCTGGCAGAAATACTCGGTAGGTGATGCCTCGGGTTAAAGAATGGCACGACTTCGCTCTCACGGCTCGAAACCGGCATTCGCGCTGAATCGCTCCGGAGCGTTTGCACTCGCTGCCCGAGAAATCGCGCTTCTCCCCGGGTGCCGATTCCAGCGCTTAGCCGCGGTCTCGATGTTGTTCGCTCGCCGCGGAACAGCGACTGCCGGCGCATGCTTTTCCCCGAGTCGCGGGCTCTTCTCCGCGCATCGCAAAGGAGCGCTTTTGACTTCGCCCGGAGTACGTATATGCAGGACGCCCTTCGCCTGGCTCGGAATGCCGTGTCCGTGCCTCTCCTTTAAGCGACAGTTCGTCGCAGTGTGCTTCTCCGTGGCTCCACTTCTGCGTTCCGTGACGAAGAGTGGCAGGGAGAACTTTCCCTAAAGAGGCAGCTGGACGTTCGTGGAGCGACAGCTGTAGTGCTCTCAGGGAGCACATTCGAAAAAGGCGAGAGGGAGTCTTCCAGCACTGCGCAGAGAAAACCCCCCTTCGGAGGGACCGCGGCACGCTGAATTCGCCCCTTCTCGGCATCGGAGCGGCACGACTTCGCTCTCACGGCTCGAAACCGGCATTCGCGCTGAATCGCTCCGGAGCGTTTGCACTCGCTGCCCGAGAAATCGCGCTTCTCCCCGGGTGCCGATTCCAGCGCTTAGCCGCGGTCTCGATGTTGTTCGCTCGCCGCGGAACAGCGACTGCCGGCGCATGCTTTTCCCCGAGTCGCGGGCTCTTCTCCGCGCATCGCAAAGGAGCGCTTTTGACTTCGCCCGGAGTACGTATATGCAGGACGCCCTTCGCCTGGCTCGGAATGCGGTGCCCGTGCCTCTCCTTTAAGCGACAGTTCGTCGCAGTGTGCTTCTCCGTGGCTCCACTTCTGCGTTCCGTGACGAAGAGTGGCAGGGAGAACTTTCCCTAAAGAGGCAGCTGGACGTTCGTGGAGCGACAGCTGTAGTGCTCTCAGGGAGCACATTCGAAAAAGGCGAGAGGGAGTCTTCCAGCACTGCGCAGAGAAAACCCCCCTTCGGAGGGACCGCGGCACGCTGAATTCGCCCCTTCTCGGCATCGGAGCGGCACGACTTCGCTCTCACGGCTCGAAACCGGCATTCGCGCTGAATCGCTCCGGAGCGTTTGCACTCGCTGCCCGAGAAATCGCGCTTCTCCCCGGGTGCCGATTCCAGCGCTTAGCCGCGGTCTCGATGTTGTTCGCTCGCCGCGGAACAGCGACTGCCGGCGCATGCTTTTCCCCGAGTCGCGGGCTCTTCTCCGCGCATCGCAAAGGAGCGCTTTTGACTTCGCCCGGAGTACGTATATGCAGGACGCCCTTCGCCTGGCTCGGAATGCCGTGTCCGTGCCTCTCCTTTAAGCGACAGTTCGTCGCAGTGTGCTTCTCCGTGGCTCCACTTCTGCGTTCCGTGACGAAGAGTGGCAGGGAGAACTTTCCCTAAAGAGGCAGCTGGACGTTCGTGGAGCGACAGCTGTAGTGCTCTCAGGGAGCACATTCGAAAAAGGCGAGAGGGAGTCTTCCAGCACTGCGCAGAGAAAACCCCCCTTCGGAGGGACCGCGGCACGCTGAATTCGCCCCTTCTCGGCATCGGAGCGGCACGACTTCGCTCTCACGGCTCGAAACCGGCATTCGCGCTGAATCGCTCCGGAGCGTTTGCACTCGCTGCCCGAGAAATCGCGCTTCTCCCCGGGTGCCGATTCCAGCGCTTAGCCGCGGTCTCGATGTTGTTCGCTCGCCGCGGAACAGCGACTGCCGGCGCATGCTTTTCCCCGAGTCGCGGGCTCTTCTCCGCGCATCGCAAAGGAGCGCGGATGATGGACATAGTATCTAATCACAAGCATGGAGATATACGCATATATTTATTTCATATCCTCAGATTAGCTATAATTACATCATTTCACTTCAAGTTTTATTTCTAGCCACAGATCACTCTTTTAGCCTTAAGCGCTTTTACCAGATTGACTTCTGGCAGAAATACTCGGTAGGTGATGCCTCGGGTTAAAGAATGGCACGACTTCGCTCTCACGGCTCGAAACCGGCATTCGCGCTGAATCGCTCCGGAGCGTTTGCACTCGCTGCCCGAGAAATCGCGCTTCTCCCCGGGTGCCGATTCCAGCGCTTAGCCGCGGTCTCGATGTTGTTCGCTCGCCGCGGAACAGCGACTGCCGGCGCATGCTTTTCCCCGAGTCGCGGGCTCTTCTCCGCGCATCGCAAAGGAGCGCTTTTGACTTCGCCCGGAGTACGTATATGCAGGACGCCCTTCGCCTGGCTCGGAATGCGGT